TTGGCACAAATAAACTGCATGGGACTTTTTTCTCACCATCAGGAGGAGGAGGAGGAGGAGGAGGAGGAGGAGGAGGAGAAGAAAGTTGGATCGTTGACAGTCAGGTTTCAGACCACGGCACAGAATGAGAATTGTATTGGTTCCACTTGTGATGAACTATAGAGAGACTAGGGTTGGGGAAATGTCCTCCTTGATGCCTTAGGAGCTTTTGATGCAGATAGTCCTTGACTTAAACCTGAGTTAATGCCTTAAAGAGTTGTGGTTGTAAATTGAGGCAGCTACATGATCAGAAGTAATTTTCTGGCCTTTTTTATGAGGTTTGTTAAGCGAATTCTGTGATCATTAAATGAACCCATTCATTTGAATGGGTGCTGCAACTGAATTTGGTGCTAGAGGCCAGAAACTAGCAAAAAAGCCATAGTGAATTGTGGTCATGTGACTGTGGAACACTGGGACCACCCAACTTGCAGTGATGTCATGGGGGGGGCGCTTTACAGGCCTTCCATTCTCCTCCATAACTATCCACATTATAAGTTTGTTTGAACATATTTGAACTGAATCTATGAACAGCATAGCCCTGTGGGATTAGTCACTCTCTTTAAAAAGATAAAACAATACTATTCAGTTTATCTAGACCTTCTGCAGGACAGACAAAGTGAAAAGATAGAAAAAATTTCTAGTAATTTTAAACAGGTGAAATGCTTAGGTAGTGACTCTTGTCAGAAAATGATATCAATATTTGTCTAGAAAGAAACAAAGACTAACAAGCAAAATAGCTGAAAAAGAGTTTTCAAGTTTTAAGACCACCCAATTAGGGAAATTGTTAGGAAAAAAGTGACAGATGGAAAAAGAGGAAGTTCAAACTTAAGGCCAGCTATTTCAGCCATAATGCCTAAAGTTCAAATAAGCCTCATGCTGGAGACTGTAGACAAAACACATGAGTCGACAGCAGACAATGTTGTCAGCACTAGCACTGAGAAACAAAGAATGTCTTCGTTCCTGTTTTCATTTAAGTAGTGCAGAATATATTCACAGACACTCAGTATTGTGTGAATAACATGCAATGTTTATAAGTTAAAATGCAATGAAAAGAGTAAAGACACCCCCCCAATATTTATTCATTTATTTTTCTTTAATCCAACATTCTATTCCACATAGTCAATCACACTTTATAGAAACAAAGTTGGTTAGTTATGGCAGTTATAGAATTTAATATTCAATATTTAGTTATTGAAGATTCCCTTCAATAACTTTAGTTAGCACTGAATGTGGAAGCCAAATGTAAGCACTGCCAAAATAAAATAATATTTTCTGCTTACTTAGAAAACTTTCTAGATAGATTAAAAAAAAATCTTGAATAAATGAGAAGAGCTGTTTTTTTAAGTACAATGCAGTTCCTATTTCAGAAACAGTTTTGTTAGGGGTGAAAAGATGCTTTTTGGCAGGATCCATTTAGCTAATAGACATATTAATTATTTGAGATATAACAATTTTAAAAAGTAAATATTCCTACAAATCCAAATCAATTCACAGATTTATCCACTTAGGCTTTTTTGTAGTAATATGGAAGGTATTTTCTGCTGATTTCTTGTGGAACTTAAAAAAAAAAAACATTTCTCACTTAGAATATAGTCCTGGAACTACCAGGAAATATTAACTGGACTTGCTCCCTTCTGAGGCCAGACAAGGTTGGTTATATGTTATCACCTGCTGCGACAGGTGATGCCTAAAAGCATGTTATATAAAAGATAACAGGACCTGCTATGTTGCTGAACATAATTTTGAAAACAAAGGAGATGAAATCAAATCGATCACCATTTGCCAGAGATTCCAACTATTACTTTTCAAGTAGAATAAGAATAATCTAGGGTAATCTATGCAATGGAACAATGAAGACCTATCAGAAGAGATTGCAGACAAAACACTGTAAATTCCTTTCTCTCTTTAATTGCCAAGGCTGTATGCCTTCATATGATAATGGGCCTGAACAGATATGCAGCTGGTGTGTGTCTTGTGAAAAAGGAGGAGTTGTTGTATTTTGTCTTGGTTATGGGAAAAGCAGCCTTCCAGCTGTATAAATGGTACTTGGCTGCTCTCCATATAAATATTTCCACCTGGCCTCAATGGAGTAGGGAAACAGTTGGGGGCTATGGAAATGATGTAATTCCCAGAGCAGAGGCAGAGTCAAAGGCAGACAGCCGATCAATCAGACCTCAGCAAGCCCATGCACAAGATCTCTCAAATTACCACTTCACACCAAGAACCTGCTGAAAACATCCCCTTTTAACATCTGCTAATCAGATTGCTTCTCAGGAACCTGCTACAATTATACCTGTTATTGCAGAAAGCAATGTGGAAAGTGGGGTGAGGGAGGGAGATGTTGCATGTCTACAGCTGGGCATTTAGTAAAACAGATGGACTGTATCTGAAGCAAGGGCTCTCTTTGAAATCCAATTCTTGACCATGAGAATGAGACCTAAATGAAGCTGGCTGAAATGATGGCCTTGAACTAATCATCGGTAGTTCATATAATACAGTCAATGGAAATGCAGATGGCACAATGACTAAGATGTTGGACTAGAAACCAAGAGAGAGTGTAAGCCTGAGGCATGAAAGCTGGTTGTTGATTTTGGGCCAGTTACTCTCTCTTCTCAGCACTGCCCATCTCACATGTTAGTTGCTGAGGGGAAAACAGGAGGAGAAAGGGGTATTGTGGTATGTTTGCCACCTTGAGTTGGGTATGAAAAAATGGGCAGGATAAAAGTCTAATTAAAAAAAGTAAAGTTTAGGTCACGGGTGTCAAACTCGCCACGTCACGTTGTTGTCACATGACATTTTGCAACATTTTCCCCATTCGCGGAGCTGGAGTGGGCGTGGTCTGCGCGGGCCACCAGTTTGACACCCCTGGTCTAGGCAGTAGAATTTGGAGAGATCCAGTCAGAGCAACAGCTCCTCTATTTGCAGCAGGTTTACAAAAATGAAAACACCCAGATGTGAAGAATGTCTTCACATCTGGGTGTCTTCAAGGATTCCTACTTCATATTAACATTTGTATGATATGAATCAAGATATTGAATATAGATTACAATCTGGAGCAGAGGTTTTTTTTTTATGGTTAACAGTATAAGATGAGCATTCTCACAAAATCAAAACCACACAGAGGGAAGGCTGTGCTCTTACAAAAATAGGGACCATAATTGGTGCAGCCAGATGTGTCAGATCCATTTAGCAGAAGACAAACTGGTAACTGCCAATATTCCTACTCTCCCATTAAGTTATCTTTTTTTCTTTTGCAGGCCCATTTTCAAACAAGCACTGATTTACAGACATTTTTTATTTTTCTAAAAAAATGTCTATGAAGTCTATGCATCTATATTCCTGGATCACAACTCCCTGCACTCAGTTACTCAAGCCCTGGTTATCGCTCACGTGGACTATTGCAATGCGCTCTACATGGGGCTATCCTTGAGGTCCATTCAGAAGCTTTAGCTGGTGTACAAAGTGCAACAATGAGAGCAATCTTTGGGGGCCTTAGGATGGCCCATATTATACTTCTACTCTGCCAATTTCACTGGCAGAGTGTAGTTCAGGTGTTGGTTATGACCATTATAGCCCCTAATGGCATAAGTCCATGCTTTACCTGATGAACTGCCTCCTCCTACTAGGACAAACCCGTCTTATCTGTGCTGGCAGATAGGGCCTACTGTGGATCCCATTGGTCAAAGGTCATTGCATCCAGGACACTGCAACCATCATAGATACATGCTAGCTGACAAGTGCCCGAATTTTGATAATGTGACCATGGAGATGCTTCAATAGCCATTAAGTAGGAAAATCAGTCATAAATCACTTTTTTCAGTGCCGTTGTAACTTTGAATGGTCACTAAATTAATTGTTGTAAGTCAAAGACTACCAGTATTAGGAGATGTGGTGATTTCAAACAATAGGGATGAGCTTAAATAGGAACTGGATAAATGCATAGAGAACAGGTTTGTCAAGAGCTGTTGTTTGGAAGACTCAAAGTTTCCTTCCAGATTGGGGCATGCTACTTCCAAATTACAGCTGAAGGCAAACAATAGCAAGAGAGAAGTATGCCTCCATCTCCTGCTTGAAAACAACCCAAAGAAATGAGGAAAACATTTCTAAGATGGGTCTTGGTCTGATCCAGCAAGATATTATTTTATTATTACTGAAGATTTCAATAAAGAACCATCATATTAACTATAAGTGAACTTCTAATGAAAAGCTATCTTTAATTTCCATGGTTGTTCCCTAATTCTGAGGGGCTGCTCATCAAAGACCTTTTGAATGAAATAAAATAAAGAATAAAATTAACTTTAAGCTTATTTAACCAAGAGAAACTTCCATTTTACTTACTTGATCCAGGGGTGAAATGCTCCCAGTTCAGACCAGATTGCCTGGTCCGGTAGCGATGGAGGCAGGTGGTTCGGAGAACCGGGAGTAAAAATCCCTGCCCCCCCCCATTACCCAGTTGAGCCACACAATCATCAGAGGCTTATTTTTTTTAACTTTTAAAAGCATTTTTTCTACAACCTCTTTGGCCGAAAAAATGCTTTTAAAAGTAAAAAAATAAGCCTCTGATGATCGTGCGGCTCAGCTGGGATTCTCAGAGGCTTTTAAAAGCATTCTCTTCAGAAATTGTAGAAAAAATGCTTTAAAAGCCTCTGAGGATCCCAGATGAGTTGCCTGATTGGCAGAAGCTTTTTTTCTTTTAAATGCCTCTGACGATCCAAGCTGAGTTGCCTGATCATCAGAGGCATTTAAAAGAAAAAAAGCCTCTGCCGATCAGGCAACTCAGCTGGGATCGTCAAAGCCTTTTGAAAGCATTTTTTTACAACCTTTTCGCCGAAGAGGTTGTAGAAAAAATGGTTTTAAAAGTAAAAAAAAAAATTGGCCATGCCCACCCAGTCACATTACCTCCCCCCACCAAGCCACGCCCACAGAACCGGTAGTAACAGATTTTAGATTTCATCACTGACCTGATCAATATATCAGAGTCTTTCCTTCTGAGAAAAAGAGGTCTGCCATTCAGAAATGTAGGGTGTTTCTGGGGAAGAAATATTAACATCATGTAAGAAAAGCTGTATTAGTTAAAAATGTACCAATCTGTCAATCCAGTTTACATTTCATAGTACAATATCCATAACTCCCTTTTTACAACTCTGTAATCCTTAATTCGGGGTAGAGTTAGGACGACTGGAAGAAGCTGAGCGTTAACAGTTTGAGGATCCCTCAGTTATAAGAATATTTTATCTCTTCAGCAAGAGAACATGCAGGAAGTGCTCAATTTACAACCATTCATTTAACGACTGTTCAAATTACAACACTAAAAAAAGTGACATGACCGTTTTTCACACACTTATGATCATTGTAGCATCCCCATGGTCACATGATTAAAATTCAGACGCTGGGCAACTGCCTCAAATTTATGACAGTTGCAGTGGCCTGGGGGTCATATAATCCCCTTTTGTGACCTTTTGACAAGCAAGTCAATGGGAGAGCCAGATTCGCTTAACAACTGTGTTACTAACTTAACAACTTCAGTGATTCACTTAACAACAGTGGCAAGAAAGGTCTAAAATGGGACAAAACTCACTTAACAATTGTTTCGCTTAGCAACAGAATTTTGGGCTCAATTGTGGTCCAAAGTTGAGGACTACCTGTACCTCTATGTTTCCCAAAGGATGACCTAAATGAGTGATTAACAATATTATTATCATTTGTAAGTAAAATTACCATAGGTCTGCTAAAGGTCTTTCTCAATACTGGCAAATCTATATGGCATTCTGCCCAAATATATTATGAATTCAGAAAACATTAACCAAGCTAGCTGTATCTTTTGAACTACACAGGATAATCACACTGAACAAAACTGCATTAGACTCAATATTAACAAAGCAGCCCTCTTCCTTAGCTATAAACCTTATCCTGCTTGGGCAGTCTTCTCTGAGCTGATGTCCTGGAGAAGACGTAACCCTAGAATTCCTGGCCAACTGATTTAGGGTACAGAAATAGTTTTGTGGTTAAAGTTTAACCACAAAAATCTGGTTGATTTAAATTGAACTGTGTACCTCCCAGAAAGCTTCAATAAAACTGCATTTACAATGTTTCTACATTTTTTAAAATATCAAGATTTAAATATATAGTGTAGAAACACATCCTAAGACATTTTTATCTCTAGGACCTAGCTTTTACTACCACATGCTCAATGTTTTCTCTTAATAATCGACCACTGCTATTAAGTTTTTAATGCTAACTAGATTTATGAATACAAAGAAAAATAAAACTGAATTAGGAAGCAATTCTCCTTATTAAATTTAGAACTAACCAAATAGTCTACTTTGTTTTACATTTTTTTACATTTCTGTGTTTAATTAAACTCCCTTGGTTTTCATTCACTTCTGAACAGCATTGACTCTCTTATTTATTGATTGCTTTCCAGAAAAGGGGAGGAACTTGCAAAACTGGTATTCTCTGATGCCAACAATACAAATGTAAGATCAGTTTCCCGGTTTTGAAGGAGTTAACATTGCACTCATTTTTTTAGATGAAGTCCAGCTGCAGGATTAGTGGGAATGTTAAAAGTAGTTAGCAATATACCACAAAGAACTTTTTCTTTCTTTTTTTTTTTTTGGTCATCCTACAATTCACTGTAGGGACTTCATTATTTAAATACTCTTAAGAGCCTACCCATTACTTTCACAAAAAATAGTCTGTTCTATTTGTTACAAAATAAACAGAATGTTTCTAGTTTTACTGGCTCTTTGTCATCAGCTTTAGAAAGGTGGTAAAGATAAGTACTCTTTCAAAAACTGTGGCTCTAACATTCTGCCAAGTTAAATCTTATTCTCTCAAGTGGATTTGTTTGCCAATTTTGTCTAGTTAAGGCAATCCTGCATATATGACTAAGAGGCTACATGATGTTATTTCTTTAGGTTTTTTTCTTCTGCTTTTCCTTGTTACGGAAAGTTACAGAAAAAGCTTATCTCATAAACAAATAGTCACTCTCTCAGTTTACAGCATACATGCAAACATATCACATACATATATACAACGACTATATTTTCTAGGAAAAAATAAAGGTCAACCCTGGAAAGGAGGCAAATCCATAAAGATAAAAAACCCCCAACTGTTTATATTTATAACTTTGCTTTACAAAAGAAAATTCAAGAGCAAAACCAAGAAAATAACTACAAGTAGTCCTCGATTTACAACAAAGTGACTTATGACCATTTTTCACACTTACGTCCATTTCAGCTTCCCATGGTCATGTGATTTACATTCAGATTCTTGACAACGAACTCCCATTTATGATGGTTAGCCAATATTTAGCGTGAAGGTTATAAGGTTATATAGTATATAGTATTATCTGATGGCTACACTCAGTAGTACCAATCAAAAGCTTTGCCATTCAACAAAGAAAAACCAAAAGGTTGTAGTTTGTATGTAACAGGAAGAACTCCAGTCTACACACTTAAGAATCATTAATATGTGCATACCTACTTTGAACCATGTTTTCATGTGTTATTGGATCATGGATTGATCCAGAACAGTATGGTAATGACTTCAGGTCTTCTTTAAAGCAGTATTTTGCCTATTCTGTAGCTGCCAAATGACACTTATTTTGAACAGTTTAAATATTTTTTTTAGTTTATTAATTTATATTTCCTATTACTTAACTGTCCACTTTTCTCAGAGAAGGGTTCTGGATAGTGCATAACATAATAAATATATAAAAATACATATAACTAACATTAAAATCAGAATTAATTTAAGATTTAAAAGTTTTAAAATTAAAAAAATATAAAATTTCAAAAATTTTCAAGTGAAACGTTCCAAGAATGGGGTGTTACCAGTTGTGAATACAGGTTTTTTGCACTTAATTCCTAAAAAATTTCCATGTTCTTTAGATCTGGCCTCACTACAGTTTTATTTTTGAAAGTAGGAAGAATACACCTTTCTCTTTTCGCAATTCATTTAGCTGCTTCATGCTATTTTTCTGGGACACTAGTAATAGATGGCTCCATGAATTTGCATATACAGATTATAGATTAGGACGGAACCCATTTACACTTATAAATTTAGAAGACTCTTGAATCTAGACCTTGCTGATGACTTGGTGGGAACTTTCTTCCACCTACACGCACATTTGTTGCATGATTAGGCAAGGCTTATGCGAAACGCTTTCAGTTTGTTTTCTACCACTGTATCAACACACACCCTTGAGGTCCTTTCCTTTGAAGGGTACTTAATTCTCCTTCTGCTCATCAAAATGTGTTATTTTTCTCAACTCTCTTTCTGAATCCTTAATTTGTTCAGCAAGCCAAATGTCAACCCATCACAGAAATCCAGCCTTTAGATCACAAGATGGTAATTTCCACTGAGAAATAACCCTGAGTAATATGACTCTTAAGAAGAGTCTTAATTCTATCTGGAGAAAAACTGCACCTGGAACTTTTGAATGCAAAACATATGCTCTATGGATTTTCCGCCCCTCCCCCCCCCAGAAATGAAGAAGTTGGAGAGAGGAGGAGACTTTAATTGTTCCCATTTCCTGTTGTGCATCTTCCCTGAGCACTATGGTAACATCACAACTAGAAAGGCAGCCAACAGCTAAGTATTGTGGCTCTGAACTCTCATCAAGACACAATAAATCCAATTTATGAAGCACATAGAAATAATGAGATCCTAGCTAAAAAAAATAAATTTTAAGCCATTGAAAAAGAGGGAGAAAGATATATGAATTATTACTAGGTAATGCATTCTAATAGTTTGGGACTCCAATTGAAAAACATCTGCTTCTTGGTGTTATTAGGTTACGTATAAAACAACCAGAGTATGACTTAGGTCATTAACAAATTTCAGCACTAAAGCTAAGCTCAGAAATGAATTTGGGATAATTGGATTTGAAAAAATATTATTCATATCTTGAAGTATGCATTCACTTCCCCCTCTCCTCTCTCACACCCACACAATATCATGCATATCAGTATCCATCAACTGCAATTGCCAGACCACCTGGAAAAATACATTAATACATAACTGGCAAGTTACCAACAGATGGATGACAATAGCCAGGTCTTGATCCTGCAGCCAAAGTTAGAAAAATACTCTGAATCATAGCCACAAGCATTTTGAGACCCCAGGAGCAAAACTGAGCTCAGAATTATTCTGGGCCAGAAGCCTATTCCTTCAAAGAAGGTATGACATAATACATAGACTGGGAATTTCCTCATCTAGCTGAGTTGCTGAGTTCCATAACAGCAAATCTTCCTTGTTTGGATTAAGTACGTTTATTCAGTCTTAAATCCAGCACTGGAGAACAGATTTATTGTTTATAGCTGAATCAAGTGAGATACCAAAATTTCCCATTGATCCGAAAAAGCCCAAAGATGAAACTAAATTTTGTCAAACTGCACAAAATAATTTCCATGCTAAAGAACTACATTTATCATGTATGTCAGGGGTCCCCAAACCCTGGGCCATGGCTCACCACCGGACCGTGGCCTATTTGGAATCGGGCTGTGTAAGTGGCAGGTCAGCGTGCACACACATGCAGGCTGGTGTGCACACGCAGCTCTACCTGTGCAAGTCGAGCTGCGCACATGTTGTACGTAGGCCAGGCCATTGCTTGCGTGGCCTGGTTCCCCTCTACCCCTGCTGCCAGGCCGCCAACCTGCGAAAGTTGGGGACCGCTGATATATGTGAAGAAGAGGTATTTTAGCTTGTTATAATTTACATTTATTCATTGCTATTCCTCTAACTGGTTGTTATTGTACAGTCGCTAACTCGTGCCCAATCCTTCACGAACCACCAGATCATAAGCACGCCAGGCTCCCCTATCCTGTCCTAGAGTTTTCCCAAATTCATGTTCATTGTGTTGATGATACTATCTAACCATCTCATCATCTGCTGTCCCCTTCTCCATTTGCCTTCAGTCTTTCCCAACAAGTCCTCTCTTCTCATTAGGTGGCCAAAGTATTTGAGCTTCAGCTTCACTATCTGTTCTTCCAAAAAACAGCCAGGGTTGATTTCCTTTAGGACCCA